TTACTTAGACTTTCTTCTGTGCTAAACCCAGAAAAATGCCTGTCATTTGCTGTCAGATTTCTCATCTCAAATTCTCCTCAAGCAACAAAGTCAGGTTAATTGCAGTCACTTTTACATTCACCAGCAACTTACAGAGTCAGCGCACAGTAACAATTGGCTGTGAAATGAGAAAAGGCACCCCATCCCTGGAATTGGGCGAGAGATAACAAATGTGAAAGGATTGAATGCAAATACAGATAAATAAAACCTAATAGAAAACACCGCCTAAATTTAATGTAACAACCATTCGACCTCATTAGCTGAACATGTTCTTGTCATATTTCTTCAGTAAATGCTTTCATGCAAGACAGGCACAATGAATATGCTACCACTTGTACCTATAGTGAATGGAACTTAAGAATACACCGTAGATACACAACGCTGCATAGTAAATAGATTTAAATCCTTTTTTAATATAAATTTAAAAAAATCCATTTCTAGGGGAAAAATATGTTCATAGAAATGAGCGTATAAAAGGCAAATTACATAGATGCTTATTACCATTTTGCCGTGATCTTTCACTGGAGCATTGGAGGAAATATCCTATGTATGTTTAACCTAGATGCACACAGTATTTGGGTAGGTGCTTGTCAACTGAGATGAAGTGTGCATAAGGTTATGTGAGAAAATCCAATATTGGCATCAGAGAAACATTCTTCTAGCTTATCAAAAACACTGGCCACATGTTCACAGCTGGTGTTCAAAATTATACCGACCCGCTTCCCATTGTAGTAAAGCATAAGTAATTGTATTCTTCTGTGCAACAATAGAATGAGCAATAAATGAAATTGTTGTCAAAGATAGAAAGTTCGTTCTAAAGTAAGAAAAGATCACGTATTCATATTGTACTATAGTAAAAGGTCATGTGTGAAGATGTGAGGGTTCACTAAGTAAGTTTTCCTACATCTTCGTAAACACTGCCAGTGTTTATCAGCGCCTTCGGAAATATAGATGTAATAATTGATATATCAACAGGCCAAATAATGTTTTAAATATCGCCTCTATAGCTGTTTTAATAATTTACAATCAAATTGCCCATGATACATTCTCTTTTTAATGTACTTTGCAAGATTTAAGTCCTAATTTCTAGGAGAAAATATTTTGCAAAATATTAGCATTTCTTTTGAATGTAATTTGTCATTTCAGGGCTTCTTTTTAAATTTATTAAAAACTTTTGCTTAGTTACAACATTTAATCTGAAATACATACATTTTCCATCAAATGGAATGTTAGGGTTAAGTTGAGGGAAAAGTAAATTAATTGTGTGCTTTTAATGTGTGTATGAGAGACTTACTATGGCTGTGTTATTTAAAAATTAAATTAATATTTACTAAAATAGAAACATAAAACCTTTCAATAAAGACAGAGAAACAGAAGAGTGAAGCATAGAATGAGTCCAGATGTGTTTAAATGATGGAGTTAGCATGGCTATTGATTTCTTTCCACCTAAGCAGTCTTTCTAAAGATTTTTACACATCCTTGATCAAATTATCAGGGTTAAAGATACTAAAGATGAAATAAAATCACAGGTTATACTATTATTTAATAAATGTCAAATATTATGCTTTGAAAAAAATCACTGTTCTCAATTTCATTTTGAAAATAAAAGAAGTGGATTTTTAAATGGTTACTCAAAGACAACTGCTTTGAATGACTAGGGATAAATGAACTGACAGTAAGAAAGTACTGACCAGATATTTTTAAACACCATTACCTGAAACACCTTCAAAGCAGTGCAATCTCATAAAACATTCAGAAAGATTATCTGACTTAATGAATGCTCAAAATGCAAGCTCAAATCTACCCTGAAAAGCAATCAAGTTTTTAGAAACTATTTTGACCTTAGTGACACAAACAATTAATGCTGCAAACCTAATATCAAAATAAAATTCTACATTTAATGCAGAATAATTTCTCAATGTAGTTAATCCAAAACAACATTTGAAACCTGCTGCCTCCATATATTATACATTCTAGCATTTAGTTCTAATTTTAAAAGATGACAAAAGAAGGAAGGAGAGGGTAATTCATCAGGAGAAGGCTTTTTTATTACTAATTTTTTCAGTGAATAGAAAATAGCAGAGTATACTAACAAAGACATGGCCCCTATGACCATGTCCATTACACTATTAAAAGTATTCCACCTTCATCTATATTAACAATCAGAAATGTATGGTAAAATTTCTTGAAAGGAATAAAGCCATTCACAATAAGTAATATTATACGACAAGTAAAATTGTACCTAAGGTGATGAAGTGGTCATTTTACTCTTAAACTTGTGGGATGGTGAAAATAATAATGGCAAATAGCTCTGTAACACAGTTTTGATAAGAAAATCAAACCAATTCAAATAAATGGCTTTTACACTATAAGACTTTTGTTCTAACATAATCCTTATATTAAATTGCATTTTCCTTTCTAAATAAAAAAATTTAAGATATTCCAGATTTTAGAGATATTTCAATATTAAAAAATTAAATTCTAAGTAAAAACTCCAGCTATAATTTATCAATCTCTTTTACTTTACCAATCTATTTATCATTAACTATCTATTACAATCTATTCCAAACACAAACCTTTCCTCTTAAATTCATGCTTTAAGTCAAACTTCTCAACTCTATAAAAATAAAAAAGCCAGAAAAATCAAGGAAAACATTCTGATTTTAAAAGCAGACCATATTCTGCCAGAAGCTCATGGCAAACCAAAATTTTACTTAAATTTTGTTTTCATCATTCACTGCCTCATAAATTATATTTCTAAATAAGAGACCTCAGGCAACAATATTTAGATAATTATACTTACAAGACGTAATTTAATTCTGTTCAAAATCGTACATCTAAAATAACACCAGGTAAAAATAAATTTGTAAAATTATTTCACTTTTTATGAATTTGCTTGCATATTTTTGCATGGTTTTAATTCCTTTTAAAATACATACATGGAAGGACAAAAATGCCATAACATTATGTATCTAACTATATTAATATAGTTAAAACATAACCAAGGGAAGAGACATTTACAAAGGTTTTTCCATGTTTATTTATTAAATTATTACATATCTTCCTGCAGACACATCCTGAAGTGTCCTTTGGAAATGCCCACTTTAGCCACTGTGTTAAATCACTTCTAGAGGGCACTCCACAAACAGGCAATACATGAAGTTGCTAAGTTGTATAAAGAACATAAGTTTTTGTATTTACTTCTTTACAGTTTACATAAACGGTGTAGAACAAAGTGAACTTCAAATTCAGGTTATAAACACACCTCACCATAAAATGCCTCCAGAGTACTATAAATTATAGCCAGGATATTACCTTGTTTTTTTTAATTATTATTATTATTAAGTAAGTAATCAGAACTTTGAAAGAAAAAAAAGAACTTACTTCTTTGCATTTCCCTTCAGAAACTGTTGTCTTTGCAATACTAAACTAATATGTTCATTTTCAGTTATTCATTTCACTTGCCTTTATAAATGCAGTCTATTCTCAAACTAAATAGAATTTGGCTATAAATTCTTAGGACTCTGACTTAAGGGAGTCAGTAGGACTACTACAGCACTCCAATGGTATATTTCCTGTAAATACATTAAAAGAAGAAAAGAGCTATGGAAAAAAAAACCTGCATTTATGAAAAGAAACTTGTAAGAATAGATTAGTTCTGGGGCTTTGGTAGGTATGTAATTCCTATAATGGTTAAAACAAAATATTTTTAAAATATGATCGTTCTAATAATTACTGTCTATGAAAAGAGAAATAACTCCGAAATAATAGGGAACCTATTTAAAACATTATGTCTAGCTCTTTAAGAGGATTATTCTTGAAAACAATACCAAAATGTTAAGACATTATTCAGTACATATATTCTAAGACAACTTAAAAAAATATTAATGATTCTATTAAATTTTACTCTGGTGTGGATATTTGCTTTATTTTTGAAATGTATTCTTTCTCGTTAAATACTAACTTAAAGATGAGACATATTTCAATAATAACTCATTATATTTTCATTTGAATGTTTTCTCACATTTAGTCTGAATGCAATCCAGAGAGTTAAAGAAATAACCTTTATCTTTAAAACAACTGAAATCTTTTTTTTCACACAGGTATACTCACTCTGGCCTAATGTGAGTGCATGCACAGGAAGCTGTCTGTTCTGTCACTGTTTCCAAGGAGTTGAATCAGTGAAGAATGGAATGGCTATTCTTTTGTTAAAAATAATATTTCATTGACAAACAAAATAGGGAAAAATGAATCTGTTTTATAAAAAGAATAATGGGTTACTTGATGATATATCTTTATTGAGCAGCTGTTTCCTCTTCTAGATTTAAAGAGAACAACTGTATTTTGTGAAACACTAATGGGGGGGGCGGGAGTGATTTTTAATGTTATCCAAAGATGTATATTCAAAATATCTTAAAGTGAGTTTTTTAAGAAAAGCAACATAAATCCTTACAGTGTTTACATCTTGCACATTCTCCCGGCAAATTTCCACTAATTAATAGCTAAACATTTGCAGCTATATCATGGGTAAGCATCTGTGTTGTGAAAAGTCCTTGTGGTCCTTTTCACCTTAACTCAGACTTGGAATAAATTCATTGTATAAGCAAGTATCAAGTAATGTGGCCCTCTGGTGGAAAACGCAGTATCACATTCGCCAGCACAACGTTAGTAAACTAGAAGCTATAAAATATTTGTTACAAAGCTTTACAGCACCTTCCGAAGACCACCCTGTGAACTTAATTAATAGCCTGGTACCTGAAGGGCACTCTGGTGCTGCTATGACGTAACTGATCTGAAAATCCTCTCTTTACTCCGACTTCAATCATGTTCCAAATAATAATACATTCTCAGCATCCTTTAGCTTAACACATGCTCAATTTGCTCTGAATACATTTTTTTTCATATTCAAAAAAAAACAGGCTTATTTGTTTTAAGGAATCACTGAGAAAAACAAAACTTAC